ACCATGCCGCCCTTAAGTGGTTGATGCAGTTTAAGAATCCAGAGGGTCAGATAGCCAGGTGGATCGAACGACTCCAAGAATATGATTTTAAGATTGAGCACCGGGCCGGAGTTAGCCACCGAAACGCTGATTCTCTTTCCAGAAGGCCATGCCCAGCAGAGTGTTCTCACTGCAACAAAACGGAATCCAAGGAAGCAGCAGTGCTAAGAACGACGGTGGTCCACGACGACTGGACGCCTACCAAGATCAGGGAAGAACAAGAGAGAGATCCAGTTATACAGAAAATCCGAAAATGGAAAGAGGAAAACCGTCGACCACCTTGGCAAGAAATATCGAACCTAGGCTCAATAGTTAAGACGTATTGGGCCCAGTGGGACTCATTTATCATGGAAGATGGCTTGCTCAAACGAGTCCTGGAAAATGATGACGGTTCAGAGAAGAGAAGACAGTTGGTGATTCCAAAGAGCAGAATAGCCGAAGTACTTCGTCAGTTACACGACAGTCCATCAGGAGGGCATTTTGGTGTGAAGAAGACCCTTCAGCGAATTCGGGAACGGTTTTATTGGATGAACAGTTCCGACGATGTAAAAGACTGGTGTAAGAAATGTACTATTTGTGCTACGAGTAACGGGCCTTATCGAAAAAGGAGAGCTCCTATGAGACAATATAATGTTGGAAGCCCGTTTGAAAGAATAGCTTTGCACATTGCTGGGCCATTTCCAGAAAGTGATAATGGAGGCAAGTACATGTTGGTAGTAATGGATTACTTCACTAAGTGGGTCGAGATTTACGCACTTCCAGACCAGAAGGCGGCCACCGTTGCAGATAAGTTGATCCAAGAATATATCAGCCGATTTGGAGTGCCTTTGGAGATCCATAGTGACCAAGGCAGGAACTTCGAAAGCGATTTATTCCAAGGAATATGTGATAGACTAGGTATGAAGAAAACAAGAACTACGGCTTATCATCCGCAATCGGATGGTATGGTAGAACGAATGAATAGAACAGTTGGCAAGTATTTGACAAAGATGGTGTCCGATCATCAGCGAGACTGGGACCAATATCTTCCGTTCTTCACAATGGCCTACAGATCTGCTGTTAATGAATCAACAGGCCAGACACCAGCCAGAGTCCTATTCGGACGCGAGATGCGACTACCTTGTGATCTAGAGTTTGGGTGTCGACCTGGAGAAGATGTAGCAGGTGAAGATTATGTGATCGAATTACGAAGAAGAATGGACGATGTACACGAGTTGGTCCGTTCCCATCTCCAGATCGCTAGTGACCGAATGAAGAAACGGTACGATACGCGAGCCGAAAAGGGGTGTTTTAAGAAGAACGATAAAGTCTGGCTTTATAACCCCAAAAAGCGAAAAGGTTGTTCTCCCAAATTGCAGCAGTTTTGGGAAGGTCCATACCTCATTATGGAGAAGATCAATGATGTTATTTACCGAATAAGCAAGATTCCGAGAGGAAAGCCGATGATAGTACACCATAACCGGTTGGCGTCTTTCGAGGGTGACCACGACGTAGATGAAGAAGTGGAAGTAAACCAAGTCCAAGATGTGTCTGACCTCACGTTTGAGGAATTCATGGGTGCCTATGGAGGTACCGGTAAAGCAAGACATGGTGTTACCACTGAAGAAAGGCAAGATCTACTCGCGCTTCCCGATGACTACTCACTGGCCCTTACCATCCCGGCCAGTATCAAAGACGCACCAGGGTTGGCATCCGTCTTTCAAAGGAAGTTTGGTCGAGTTGCAGAACTTCAATGCCAAGTGCCAGCTCCTGGTAAAACCTTGAAACTCCAAGATGCATCACGTTACCTTTTCTACCTGGTAACAAAAGACACTGCCCGTGACCAACCTACCTACCGAGATGTATGGGAAGCTTTACTTCGATTGAGAGAGCACGTACTAGAGTCCGACGTGCAAAAGTTAGCCATGCCAAAGTTAGAGTGCCACCAATTAGATTGGAGGGTAATTCGAAGTATGGTGGAGGAGATCTTTAGAGACACCGAAGTCCAGGTGTTAGTCTGTTGCAATCCGCATAGTTACTGGTGCGGAGAGAAAACCGTCCCTTGTCATTTTTATAAAACTGGAAGTTGTAAAAGAGGGTCCAGTTGCCGATACCAGCATACCGTTTCAGTTCCAGTCCCGACAAGGTTCCAGGAGGAACCATCTTTTAAGAGGGGGGCAATGTTACGATAATTATGGCGTTTATAACTATCAATATATTATGACTAATTCTGTTTTCTGTTCCAGTAAATTCGAAGTTGTTTACAGAAACCTCTAGACCGTAATTTTATGAGTAATACACGTCTCGAGGTTGAAAAACGAGTCGAGCGCCTTCACCAAAATACGAGATCATTCCAGTATTTTCGACAAGGGTCAGGTCAGGTCTAGGCGGTCTTACGGTTCTTTATATAAGGACGAAATTTTATTGAAGAAGTTAGTCATAAGAAGATCGGGAAACGCGATTTACTTGTAACGAAACGTAACAAATAAATTTGTATTTAATAAGCTATTTAATAAATTAGTAATTAGTTATCGTGAGTTTTAATAAATTAGAATATAGACAATAAATTAGAATAAAGACAAATAAATCAGAACTATATAAATATATAACAATACTCTCTACATCTATGCAAAGCACAGAAGTTTTATGACTACTTGAAGAGGTTCAGTGAAGAAACTAAAACAGATGAAAAAATGGATGTTATTAGCTTTGACTATCAACAAAACTTGGCAGTACCAGTACTACAGACAGTTGTGGGTTTATAACCAGAGTTTTTACTCAGCAAAATCCGGTAGGTCCTGTATGTACATGTACAATTAAGTCAAAGAAAAAAAGGTGCGAATGAGACAGTATATTTTTTAAAACACTATGTTGACAATGTTGTTGATTTATCTGTTGAAACACTATACTTATTCACTGATAACTGTGTTGGGCAGAATAAGAACATGGTTGTAGGTCAGATGTTATCTTCTTTGGTCGCAACTAGAAGGTTTAAAGTCATCTAACATCAACTTCCTGAAAGAGGCCATTCATTTTTGCCATATGATCGTAAATTTGCTCTGATTGAAAAGGAAAAATGCAAAGTCACATACTTTTAATTGCCAGAAGAGTGGTATGCAAAAGTGGAGAGAAACTCAAAAATGTTTTCTGTTGTTAATGTTGAAGGACGATAAGGGACTTTCATTCATATTTCCAACCTTTCTTAAAGTTTCAAATTCTCAAAATATAAAAGTTTAAAATATGAGGATAAAAAAAATCACAGTTTCTGTATTCCACAATATTGAAACTATAAACAAAATTTTCTTTTCCTTTAAACCTAACTTAAATTAAGTGGTGATAAAGAAATGTAATGTAGCAGAACTCTACACTGCAAGCCATCCAGTAAGTTTAAAAAAACTCAAAGACTTAAGGAAACTTAAGGATTTTATCCCTGCAATATATTGAGGATTTTATGATTATGTTGGAATATTCTATCACATTATGAGACACCCTTAAAAATATGATCAATGGAAAAATCCAAGGTAAATGTGGTCATGGTAGAAGAAGAACATCATGCCTGAAAAATTTAAGTGGATGGCATGGAAAACAAGTACATCTGTATTCAGATCTACTGTCAAGTCATAATAGTGAATATGATATCCCACAAAATCGATAACTGCCATATAACTAGAAGAAGAAGAATATAAATATCATTAAACATAAATATAAGCACTAGGATTGTTTTTGTCGTCTCCTGTAAAATTCCCTTTTTGGTTTTTACAGAGTTATCATTTTGGGGTATTCAATTTGAGAATCAAGGAATTGATGGCGATGTAATAAATAAAGCTAGGAATAGCAAAGCAAAACTACAGAAAAAAGAAACTAGTGAGATACAAACCAAAAAGGAATAAAGAACTGGTTTGACAGTGAATGTAACCAGGTTATACAAAATAAGAACAGAATTATGTTTATAATATAGTGAATATGATATCCCACAATCGATAACTGCCATATAACTAGAAGATGAAGAATATAAATATCATTAAATATAAATATAAGTACTAAAGTTCATTCGTTTAGCAAATTCCCATCTGTCAACAAATGCATGTGTTGATATTCGGCCTCTCATTCATCAAGAGGCTATTAAATATAATTTATTGCCTTAATCCAGACAGATTCTCATGTTACAAATCTAAACTTGCTTCTGTTTAAATTAAAATTGTATTGTGTTGGGTTTTAAGTTAATATATTGTATGTTATATTTATGTTATAGTTATTGTTAAGTTATTTACTGGTCGTGTTATTTTTTAGAGTTCAGTTTAATTGTGATCTAATGATTAAATATCAAGAAATTCTTACACTAATAGTTTCAAAAGTAAATATTTTTAAAAATTATATGATACATATCAGTACGACCCTGTTAGGCTTCTACGTGCTTCTGTTGATAATTGGGAATATGTAAAATGAATATAGTTTAGGATTGTTTTTGTCGTCTCCTGTAAAATTACCATTTTGGTTTTTACAGAGTTATCATTTTGGGGTATTCAATTTGAGAATCAAGGAATTGATGACAATGTAATAAATAAAGCTGGGAGTATCAAAGGAAAACTCTAGAAAAAAGGAACTAGTGAGATACAAACAAAAAAGAATAAAGAACTGGTTTGACAGTGAATGTAACCAGGTTATACAAAATAAGAACAGAATAATGTTTATAATTTAGTTTAATTTATAATAATATCTATAATGAAAAACAAGTAGTAAAGTAAAACTAGGGTTGATGCTTAAATCACACAAGTAATCATTTACTAAATTTTTAGTGGATACAAATCAAAAAAAGTAATAGAATAAAAATATTGCATACAATAAGAAGCATTGATCATTATTCACTAACTGAAACAGAATCCATTGACATAAATTTCGTGTTACCCTCTTACTGCACTGGTATTCTGTCTATAAATTGCCTATTTGATTTTTAATCTCTATATTAAATAAAGTATACTTACCCAATACTTCCCATCTGAAGATAGTTTAGCTTTTGTCAAAAAAGAATTGAAATCTACTGCATGAGGCTCAGATATACATGTTGCAGATAACATCTCACCATTCATTAGCTTTGTTAAATATTTTACTTTTTGTTGATCATTTCCAAACCTATTTAGAGTCTGTATCCCCAACTGTTCATTATTGACTATAGAATTTCTCAAGTTATGTTCCGATAAAGCCTCTACAAAGATTGAAAAATAAAGTAATTTAAAAATAATTGGCATTATGGATTCAATTCACAAATATAGTTAGCATAAATGACAATCACAAGTACAAAAATGCAATGCTATAGATTAGCAATATTCATACTATGAGCTTACCTAAAAACACAGAAGTTTCAGTAACATTACATTCTCTTCCATTCATTAACTGGGCAGCTTGCAGTCCTAGAGCTTTAAAATCAGACAGATTCTGGCGAAATTTCCTTGTCATTGAAGTACAGTCTATCATATGATTTTGTTTCATTAAATTTCTAACTAAACTTACATCTTGTTCTAGGAGTTTAGTATCTTCTTTATTTAGCTCAGGAAAAGTGAGGAGATCAGTGTCAAATTTGCCTAGAAGGAAATTTTTAACAAAGAGAGGTTTCTGTGGTTTTTTAGTTCGTACTTTCTTCGTCACATTAGTTATGGTTTGGAAGTCTTTTAATTGCTTTTCATACTTATCTTCTGTGTCTTTTACAGCAGGTACTTGTTGATGAGTGGTATGTGTGGTTCCAAAATAACTTACGTCTGTACTAATTATTCGTTTTAAATAAATTCTATTCTTTAAAGACTTTCGTGTCCACATAATATCGAAATAATGTAAGATTTAATAAAATAATAGGTCTCAGAATGACAATTAAATCTAAGGTTAAGTTCAAAAATTTCATTCAGGCAGTAATGTGACAACTGACAAAATTTGCACACAACAGTCACAACACAGCTTTAAGCTGGATTTATAGTTTGACGTACTGTAGACGTAGACGCACTGGAGACGTAAGAAACGGACTGTAAATATGCAAATTGCTGTATTCGCGGAGCATACCCCGAACGTATTCAGAGTAAGTTCGGGATTATTTTCCAAGGCGCAGGCGTCAACGTAAACTAATCCTGGACATGTTCAGGGTTTTTTGCTCCGCGAACAATTTTCGGATTCGGAATGCATAAAGCAGACAAGGACAGTGATGCCAGGTCTCAATGAGATCTCATGTTTTCCAAGAAAATCTCATGCTCTCATTTGATCGCTAAATCTCATGCTTTTCAACTTATAAACATAGTGACAAAAATAAGTAACATTAAACATTATTTTTAAACTACAGATAACAAAGTGAGCATAAACGAATTTTGCTTTTGACTCAAAAACCAAGTCGCTAAAAATTTGCACCCTAATAAACGAATTTATAAGCTATATATATATATAAATATATATATATATATATATATATATATATATATATATATATATATATATATATATATATATATATATATATATATATATATATACTATATATTTATATTATATTATATTATATGTTATATTTACTATTTCACGAACTATTTCTCATGCAATATTATTTTACGACCTGGCAACACTGGACAAGGATGCAAACATCGTTTTCTTGTCGATTTTGAAATCGAAAATGTTAAGAACAAATCTAACCTGTACTAAAAGTAAATAGTCAACAATAGAAATCAAACGAAAATAACAAAGAGACGAAGCAGGTAATGGATTAGGATTAGGTATTTCCACGCCAAAGTTCCGCTTAAACTTTTGTACAGTAGAAAGGAAGATTACTTGAGGGTGTTAGAATTTGCAGAATAATTTGCAGCTTGGTATTTCCCGATTTAACTTTACCTTTATTTTGGAGGGGGATGAAAAGTAGTTGAAGGAAGGAATAATTTAGTCATGCAATCATTTCCAATTTTCATATTGAAGGCATCGCATCACGAAACCAACTTAAAACGAATCAACAATGTCTGAACACCCAGAACTAGGTAAGTTTCTTTTTTACAGTTTAAACAAATGATAAATTAGGTTGTAAGATTTAATGGTACACTTATCTCTACTCTGATATTAAAATTTTATGTATATATGCATAACTCTGTGTTTTTCCTATTTTGATTAAGTACTATTTAACTATTCACTTTCCCTCTTTTGTGTAGTTGTTTATATTATTCTGCTTACTAATCCTAAAGATGCAAATCTATCATAGTTAGTAATATGTTCTTTTCGACTATTCTTAAATCAAAAACATCTAAAGATATTACAGTTTTATCTGAAATATGGCTAAATTAGAATTCAAATTTTAATATAAAACATGTTGGGATGATGATTATGGAGCATAGTATCCAGGATATCATGATGAAATTCTATCTAATAATCTAATGCATTACTAATCCTCGTATTATTAGTAATATGTTATTTTTGACTATTTATAAATCCTTTTTTTTTGCTATTTGACATACTAATATTCTATGTTATATATATTCTGGTTGTCTTATGGTTTTGCGAAGACAGGAACAACATTTACTTAGTACAAATCATGATTCTCTTTGCCTTTTCCCTATGCAGGGTCGGCTTCTTCATTTGTTTTTCTCCAAACCTTTCTGTGTTCATAGTTCTCTGATGCCGGCCCTACTTTGTCTATGGTCAGCAGAATTGACTATTTTGTGATTTGTGAATGTTTATTGCTTTCTAGGAAGATTCTAAAAATAACTCAAATTATGGCATAAACTGTCCACATGCTTTTAACAATGCAGCAATATTATCATAGGACAAAATATGTTTTGAAATGAATCTACTACCAGCTGTTATAAAGGGCGTATTTTTCAGTACACCATTCTCTTTGCCTTTTCCCTATGCGGGGTCGGCTTCTTTAATTATTTTTCTTCAAACCTTTCTGTCTCCCACCAAGTATTTTTCGGCCTTCCTCTTCTATTTATTCCAGGGACTGGTCACCTCATCGCTTTTTGGATGGGGTGGTCCTCATCTCTATGCTGCACATGCCCCAGCCACCTTAACCTATGCTCCCTCATTTTGTTACCAATAGGGAGACACCCAAACTTCCTCTCATGTACTCATTCCTAACGTTATCCTTCCTAGTTACACCACTCATCCAACAAAGCATTCTCATTTCAGCAACGTGTAATTTCTGTTCATCCCTCTTTTTTACTGCCCAGCATTCCGTACCATACATCATAGCAGGTCTCACGGCAGTCTTATAGAACCTACATTTTAGTTTAATTGGTACCTTTTTATCACACAACACTCCACTCGCCTCTCTCCATTTCATCCAGCATGCTCTAATTCTACTACTTGCGTCTCCATCTACTTCCCCATTGCTCTGAAATACTGATCCTAAATGCTTTGCTTTATCAAAGCAAATTATCCTAGTTTTTAAATGTTCCTTCAAAAAGATCTTATGATATTACGGTTTTAGCTGAAATATGGTTAAAACAGAATTCAAATTTTGATATAAAAAATGTTGGGATGCTGGTTATGGAGTATAGTATCCATGATATCATGATGCAATACTAATCCTAGTATCGTTAGTAATATGTTATTTTTGACTATTCTTAAATCCTCTTCGTGCTATTTGCCATACCGATAGTATTTATTAGATACATTCTGGTTGTATTATTGTCTTGTATATTTTTTGATTTCTGCTAAGTAATTTATTTCTGTAAATTTATAACATAATGTGTGGTAGCTATTTCCAAAATTGTTGTTTTTGTTTGAATGCATATTCACTGATTTTAATTTTGTTACTCCCAGGTTCCTTTTTGTTAGTAATATTTTTTCTTTACTCTCATTTAAGGGAATTCCCCGTTGTTGAAAGAAAGGTAGCTCTTATTGATAATGAATATTTGTCTCATCGCTTTATTCCCAAATCTTTTATTGAATGTAAGTAGGGAATCCTAATCCTAAATGCATACAGTTTTTTACACTCTCCTATACTATCTGTTAATACTCTCCTATAGTTAGGCTTTGTAACCTCCTGGTATGTTACATGCATGTATGGTATGTATTTCATTTTAGCTTTATTGGTTTTCACTTAATTAGTCTGTGAAGCTTGTTATATTGGATTAAATGCCTTTAATAGTTCTTTTATTGTTCTATTATGCTGCTAATATGCTGTTGTATGTATGATCTCCCAAAGCTAGAATTTGCACACTTTTAACTCTTGTGCTTAAAGTTCCAAAATATATAGCTAAAAATTTTCCTGTTGTTTTAGAGCTGTCACATTTCTTGGTACTCCAGCAGCCCCAAACCTCCCATCAAGAGGACACACATGGAATGCAGTGGACAAGGCATGATACACTTTGTCTGCTGCATCTATACAAAGAATATAGAAAACAGGTGGGATCCCTCAGGATAAAAAGTTTGCGCCGCATGTATGAGGAAATATCCAAAGAAATGCGGCGACAAACAAACAAGAATATAAGCCCTTCCAACTGTGAAAACAGATGGAAGCATTTGGAACGGAGCTATAAAAAAGTAAAAGACAACAATTTGAGAACAGGTCGCGGCAGGAAGGCCTTTGAGTACGAAAAAGAACTAGACGAAATTTTGGGGCACCAAAAAAATATAAACCCAATTTTAGTCTTGTCTACCCATACAAAAGATGTAGACTTCCCCGTTGAAGATGGTGGAGATAAAGAAGATAATAAGTTTTAACATTTCAAATGTGGATGGTGTGGATGTAGAAGCAGATACATTGATTAACATTTCAACACACACCTCCACACCAAATAAAAAAAGGAATTTTGTTAAAAAAAACAAACAGGAATACTTACGGCAGATAAGAAATGACCGCAGACAATTTTACAAAGATATCTTAGAAGAGAAAAGGAAAAAAAAATGATATTTTGTCTCGGCAATGTGACATTTTATCATCTGCCGTAAGTATTTTGAATGAAATTAAAGACAAATTATAATTTGAGAATAATTATATTTTAGGTATTTTTTGTATAGGTTAGGTTAGGCAGTAAGGTAGTATGTATATATTAGTTTTATGTTAAGTATAGATGAGATATTTTAATTTGTTTATTGTATATATGTGTATAGTTTAAAGTAGGTTAGGTATTTTAAATTTTATGTTTTAGTTATTAAGATTTTTCAATAAAACAATTTTTTTACATCATTGATGATAAAAAGTGTTTATTATTTATCTTTAGAGTATCAAATCAATAACCTTTATTAACAAACATACAGTATGAGATTTATACATTAAAACTTATCTTAATAGCAATTTTAAAACAGTATATGTGTATGTCATATTGTACATTTTTGATGAAGGCTATTGATTTTACAGATTGTGATTTATGACACCAAAAGCTAAGAAGATATATCGTGACACAAGAAACAGTTTCAAAATAAGTCTGACTTGTTGTTTATGTTTCATTACAACCAATAATAAAGCCATGGCTTTATACCACCAATCTTAAATACTATAGCTATTACTTTTTGTTCTTCCAAGCTAACTACTCTTCAAATTGGGAATTACATGTTAAAATGACATTACAAATATTCTGTTCTGGTCCTACATAGTTTTAATTTCTTTTCTTCAAGTGCCTGTAAGTAAGACTACCGGTTGAATATGTATAGGTACAATTACCAACAATCTAAATAGGTTGTATATTTTTTCTTTAGTTAAATCAGTAGCATTCCTTTTTGGGTACCTATAGACTTCTGTTCTATCTTTTCAAAAATCTTTCTATACTCTTGCTGTCTGTTGTATCTGCCTTTAATGTTTAGTATTATTTTGTTTATCCACATAAAACATAGTAAATCATACTTTTTCCGGTTTACTTCCTTTTAATAAAAAAATATGGAAAGGTTTTCAAAAATAAAAAGCTGCATAAATACATTACAAGTAAAACTTTTATTCAGATCACAGTACCAGATCATCCCTTTCGTCATAACAATCAG